TAAAGAGTCCAGATATAAGTATACACATTGACAATTCCATTTACAGAACAAGCAAAACTAATCTATGGTGACAGAAATCAGAACAGCAGTCACCTCAGGGGGATGGAAAGGATAGACCAGAAAGATGTTTCAAATGTAGGTTTCATTATTCAGGTAAAGTGAGGCCAACAGATCAGAATGTGGCTACGACTGAAAAGCTGATTTATTGTTCACAGTTTCCCAAAAAGGAGGCCTTCCATGCAATGTAGGGCCACATAAAGAAGTCCACAGGTCAGCCAGAAGAGGCCAGAGGAAAATGTGGGCAAGATTCTCTATTTCGGTTTMTATGTGAGGCAGGGTAACAAGCTTAGGATGGGCTAGTTGGAAAAGCTTTAGTACACTGTGGGTACAGGGGCTGTCCTAAGTTGTATGGAACCTGATGTGTGATGATGAGGGCAGAGGAATATTGGCCTGGATTGTAAAGGCCTCAAACAGGAGGGGAGGGAACAGAGACTCTGGACTGGTTAGTTTGCATATGGAAGAYAAGCTCCCAGGTGAGTAATTTACTATCTCTAAGAAGTGGCTAACCATGGGAGGGGCTATGTCTCCACGGTTAGAAAGGTACCAGATATCAAAACATCAGAATAAAGACATGTTTAATATACAAAGAAATATCTCAATATGAGGGAAATGTTGTGGTTTAGAGAGGCCTATGCATTTGTTTACCTCCTGACTAACCCAATGCTTCCCCATGAGGCCCTGCATGGCATGTTGTGTTCCTTCCTCATTGAAACTATATGAAACCAACTTTTCAAAATTCATCAAACCATACATTTTTGATGTTAATTTCATTGTGTGTTAATTATTTCATAATATTTTAAAACTACAGAGAAAAAAAATACAGGGAGAGAAAGTTTAAAATTTTTTGAAGGATGTTAATATTGGCACAAAGAAATGCAATTACAGGCTCTAGGAACTTCAGGTAACCTTGACTTTCCTTTTATCTTTTTGTATGGAAATAGCAATAGGTGACAATACATCAAAGGGTGTGCCTTGTCTGTTATCTTCCAAGGAAGCCAATTCAATCTGAGTTAACTTTTCTCCAGTTAGGAGTGATTCTGAGAGGCTGAAAGGGATCTGGGCTAAAGGGATATTGGTCCAGACTCCAAGTACTTGGATCTCTCTTCTGTACAAACTGAGTCTCAAGTAAACAAGAGCTCATGGGGGAACCCTCTGAGAGCTCCCTGTTCTACCTTCCTGGAATTTTAAGGCTCAACCAGTCTTGGAAAAGCCTTGATTTGTGTCATGCCATGGCAAAGCTCACTTTCACTTTAAGTAAGTAGCCATCCAGAAAATGACTAAAGCAGTATGGCTGATTCACAGCCGCACACAAAAAATGATGGCATCCCTGGGAGAAGCACATGCCCTGGAGAGAACAGCAYAGCACATTTACCTACTTTTGAATATATAACAAAGGCGATTTCACCAAGACTGTCAGAATTGGTTAGCTAATGTTTATTCATCTGTTCTAATAACGACAATGGGGGTGTTGGAGTGTTTTAAAAAGAAAATCCCAAATGCAGATATTCAAAAACAGTGGCAGAATCATTATTTCGTGATATTATTAATAAATGTGCTACCCTATTGTGCTTAAAAACTTAAATAAAAAGATAAAACCATATGTAAAGCAGTTGATTTGGAAGAGGAGGAAGGGAAATAAACTAGAAGCAACCTGTTAAGATTCACAGGAATAGGTAGAGGATTAAGAATAGGGAAAGGGGGGGAAAAATTAGAGATGATTTGTTTACTTTCTGTTATCTGCCAAGCAAATCTCCAAAGGGGAAGAGGAAAGGTGCTTGCCACAGCTTTTCTTTATGGGAAACAAAGAGCTTTAGTCCTTCAAATAATGCCATAGAGGCAAATACTCCAAAGCATTAATCTATTATTAGRTCAGTGATTCTTAGATTTTAATGTTCATCGAAGATCAAATTAAAAAAATAAAACTAACATAAAACTTTGAAGGACCAGTAAAAGATTCCCAACATTAGATCTGCATAAGAAATATAAGTTTTAAAAAGTGTCCTCTCCTAATATCACTTCATTATAACCATCTACTAATACCACCATTTTAATATCAAATAAATTAGGAAGAATATAATCTTATGACATAAATTTTATTTAGSCAACTTTAAAATACTAATTGTATTATATTTTCCTCTTTTGCTGCAGATCAGTGATATCTAAGCAAGATATGTGACTGAAGCCCTTAGGGACCAGACAGACTAGTCTATCTGCCATCCCATCTCATTAAGCCTCAAACCCCACCATCTTCCTACTAATCTTTTCCAGACAGTAGGGGCCATTCAGCATAGAACTTGGTCCATCTCTTCCTACAGTATGGTCCCATCAAAAACCTCATCTGTACCCACGTCTCCATTTTCAGTGGAAGAGGTGTTCTTCTGTCTGTTTCTGGATTCCCTAGCCTTCTGTCATATTAGGGACACTAAACCCATCACCAACAACCCTCCCCCTTTACCAACAGTGGTGGAGTAAACTCTTTGACATCCTTCCCACTAAGAGGTTAGGTCTATATCTCCTCCCCTTAGACCTGCGTGGGCTCTGTGACTGCTGCATGAATAGCATATGGAAGAAGTGGCTTTGGGCCCATTTTTTGGGACCAGGCAGGCCTTAAAAGAGTGGCAGCTTCCACTTTGCATCTCTTAGAATGTTCTCTCCAAGAACCCTGAGCTGCCAGGTCAGAAGTCTGACAACCCTGGAACTACCATGCGGAGAGGCCCCAGCTGAGTTCAATCTTCCATCTAGCTCTGCATTGATTGCATTGGATACTCATAACTGGACCATTCAAAGCCAAAAACTACCAAATGACCTCAGTTAATGTTACAGAGACAGAATTGCCTGACTGGGCCCTGCTCAAATGCTGACCCACAAAACCACAAGATAGGTTAAAATGAATGGTGTCAGTACATTTTGACTTAACTTTTAATGTAGCCACAGATTATCAGAACATGAGTATCTTCAAGACCTTCTCTTTCTCCCTCCCTTCAAGCTGTCTTTGTGTGTAATATACACATAACCATACTGAAGACTGGCCTGGACTTACAAAAACCTCTCACTTTACCCTAAGTTCCCTCATAGATTCATTTTTTTCCTTCCTTTCATCTATGTTTCCACCTTTCACTTCTCATCTTTCTGGAATGGTGTTTCTTCCCTAACACCATGCTGGTGAAATTATTTTTAACAAGACCAATGATGTTTAAGCTTTGCTAAATACAAGTAATCAGGGCTGGGAATATAACTCACTGGAAGGGCACTGGCCTGACACATGTGAGACCCTGGGTTCCATCTACAGCACCAAAAGGAAAAAAATACAAACAGTCAATGACAGGATCATCCCTTCCCTTCCTGCTCTCTCTGCCTTGTGATGCTCCTAACACCCACTCCTTTGGAAAATGCTTCTCCCCTGGCCTCCTCCTGACTGCTCCCTCCCTCTTGGCCTTATCTCCTCCCTAACCCTTCTTTTTCCTCATTCACTCTCTGCTGCCTATAACTTAAATATCAAGATTTCCTCAAGGTCCTCTTCTCCATTTCTATCTTTCCCCCATGCTTTTCACAGTCCTCCTGTAGCCATCCCTATACTCACTGCTTCAAATAAATGCTGTTCCCCGACACCTCTAAGTCTGCTTTTCCAGCCTAGACCTTCCTTAAGAATCAAAGGGCCTATTCTTTATTTAAATCTGGAGGTGTTCAAACTCAACAAGAGCAAAAATTAAAATGTGCACTTTATACTCTTCAGACTACCATTTTAAAAAAGATTTTTAAATTGTATTTGGACACAATATCTTTATTTTATTTGTTTATGTAATGTGGTGCTGAGAATTAAACCCAGAGAATTGAACCCAGTGCTTCATACATGCTAGGCAAGTGCTCTACCACTTAGCCACACCCCAGCCCCAGACTTCCATTTTACTGTAACTCCTAGTCCACATCTACTTGGGAGTGACACTTGGGTCTCCCTTCAGTCATGTTCATGCTGATTTCACTTTCTTAATTTAGAACTGGCTTATTCCTCTCCCACCCATTTCTAACACTATTGCTTAGGATCTCAAAATTTCTAACTACTCCTGGACTCCAGACTCAATTCCCTCTCTAATGTCCTGTGAGAGTATTCATTCTAAGGCATAAATCCTAAACTATCATCCTTTGCTAAATTTCTCTAGTGATTCCCCAATAATCCAGGTTGCAATTATAATTCTGCAGCATGACATTCCCAACCCTTACCCTCTATGATTCATCTCTTCCCTTTTCCCACTTGAGTCCCGACAGCCAGCTTCATAGAAGTATTTACAGTTCTATAAATTCAGTGGACTCAGTGGTGCTGCCAGCCTCTGTACCTGCTCTTTCCTTCATATGAAACATCCATCTAGGGGAAAGAAAGGGAGGGCACTGGGGGATGAGACTGATCAAATTATTTTTTGTGCATGTACAAATATGGCACAACGAATCCCATTATTATGTATAATTACAATGCGCCAATAAAAATAGATCTCTCCCTGACACCTAAACCAACTGAATAGTGACTTTTTGTTGAAAGCTCAATTTGTCTATAACCTTCTCAAGAAAGCCTTCCACTCTCCCTCATTTTTCAATAACTTTCTTAGTGTGCTTACTTTGTTCTTCTCTATCATGACATCTATTGAAACATATTTTTTACTTAACAACTTATTTAGAAGTCTGCTTAAGCTCTGAACTGAAGCCTTCTTGGAAGTCAGGRATTTATTTTTTTTAATCTCAGATCTCTACTCATTCTCTACTCATCTCTACATATAGTATGTACTMACAGATATTTGTTGAATGACAGAGAGTGAGTGGCATCTATTGAGTTGCCGCATTTATGTTTCATTGAATTTCTTAACAACATTACAAGAAAACTATGAAATTCATTAAATTTCTCCCTGTAAAGAAGTAAGACTAAAAAAGGGCTGGGCCATATCAATATTCACCTTCTCAGCTTTTCTTTGCTTGAATGAAGAAAGGAAATCTTTTTGCTTTTCTCAAAATCTGGCAATGGAGTCTTTAGTTCAAGTCCAATATCATTTCTTACAGATTCAGCGCTAGAAACAAGATAAAATGATACCACATATTAAAGAGAAAAATTCTCAGGCAATATTGAACAATAAGCACAACACACTTAATCAAATAATGCTTCCTAAGTCTCTTGCTTCATACAAAGGATAACATCAATAAATGTCTCGCTTCCTACAAAGGAACAATAAATACTGAAGCACTTTACCTTATGCATTTTGTGCAGAACATTTTATCTCAAAATTTCAAAAGACTGTATTAAAATCATTGTAAGTTCAATGTTCAAAATTCTAAAATATACTGATAAAGTATAATAGATAAAAGCAGGATTAAAATGTTCTGATTTCATTGATTATGATATCCCAAATTATAGACAGTCCCCCAACCAACCTTGGTTTGGCTTATAATTTTTTCACTTCACCATGGTGTGAATATATACCAACACCACCTTTCTCTTTTCTACTTTCAGCACAGTATTCAGTAAATTACAAGACATATTCAATGCTTATGTAACGTATTACAAAACAGGCTTTATGTTAGATGACCTTGGCCAATTATAAGCTAAGATAGGTGTTCTGAGCATGTTTAAGGTAGGCTAGACTAAGCTATGCTATTCACAAGGTTAGGGGGATTTGATGCATTTTTGACTTATGGTAATTTCAACTTATAATTTAAGTTTTTATTGGGACATATCCCCATTGTAAGGAAAGGAGCATGACTGTATCTACTCTTCAGAATAAACAGTACCAGCCAAGAAATACCCTTTTCAACTTGATCAGCAGAGGGCAGGTTCTTTCTATTCCAAAATTGATTGTTTAGTGGACATTTTCTGGCTCTTCTATTTTTCAGGAACTTCTTCAGGCTTTTCAATTKATATTTTTGTTTTAAATCAACCTAAAAATCATGCAAACTAATCCCATTTCCTTTATCTAAAAGAATAAAACTTGATTTGCACATTTACTCTTATTTATAGTTATAAGATTCTGAGAAGAGACAAACATTCAAGATGAGTAGAGATGAAAAACTCTTGCAAGTAATATACGAAAATCAGGAAACCTGCCAATACCCTTCCCAACCTCATATCTGAGATATGGGATCACCTCCCAGGTACAGTAAAGCTCTTTGAGGTTAAGAWGCTAAATAAGATTAAAGAAGCTGTTGCTATCTCTGTACTACTTAAGTGAGCTCATCTTTGGTTTAACCACACTTAAYTGGTTGCCAAGTCCCTTCCTTGTTCAAAATAGCAGATGGCCACATTCTACAAATTCTAGATGGGACTGACTAAATTCTCAACTTAGTACCCACAGCCTAGGCACTTRCATCCACTTTGTAGCCCTAGGCTCTATTTAAACCCTCTGTGGAAATTAGCTCAAAGTAGAGAAAGAACTTCAGAAAAACTTAATCTTTATAAGAATACAATGCTAACATTGGAAGGATCTGACCTGCACTTCAACTGCCTGTTCAATGCAGATTTAACTTCCAGTTTTAAAAAAGACAGACAGCTCTGAGGATGACAGACAACACTGAGAGAAAGACACTCTATAGCTTGCCCTGTGTATCAAGGGCAAGCTACAAGAAGTCTGTGGAAGAATCTCTTAAGTTTTTTTTGAGGAGGGTTTTCAGTAACTGCAGCAATGAGTTCAAAAAAGACAACAAGGAGAAAGTTGAGTGGGAGGGGGATAACAGGTAAGCCTGCTTTTTCTGTTTAATTATTAGCGTTCCAAGTTTTTCTTTGAAGAAAGAATTCTACTGCTTTTTAAAAGTTTGAATATCACTTCCATTATGTAACTTTGATTATTAATAACCCAGACTCAAACACTTATACATTTCCCTGGGGAACCTGCTACCTTACAATTTGACCCGTTTCCCTGTGGTCAACTACAACTGTTAATGGAAGACCTTCTTATATTGAGATATTTTTGTAATGAGTACCCACAGTTCCCACTCAGGTTTCTGCAATACAGAAAACATCACACCCCTCTTCCACAAAAGAGCTTTTTCTATTGCATCATCCACAGCACTTCAGCTATTTTCCCATAACCAACATTTTTTTTAATGATCACAGTAAAAATTGCTAATATTAAAAAAATCCACTAACCAAGTGAATAGATCAGTGGAAAAATACCCCAGGTGTTCACTGAAGGTACTCTGTAGGGGTAATTCATGTTCTTCAGCCCTTATAGCATTTTCATTCTTATCTGAAAGAAAGAGGACCATTTTAATTCTAAGCGATTTTTAGATTTCAGTCTGTGAAGCACAAAATGACCCAAGTTAGAAAGCAAAATTAAAGTACCATTTACACCAGAATATCCTCTTTTTCAACCAAGTGACAGGTGTGCTTAAAACACATTCCACTGAATTTATTTATCAAATTCCTATTTATAGGTAAATGTCAAGAGAGAAAATATGYATGAATCTTCAATAAGCAGCTGCATTGTCAAAATATGGCTCTGAAAATTTTTTTCTTTTCTTTCTTTCTTGTTTTTTATTTTATTTTATTTTTTTTGCAGCTGCTCATCCTTGGAACAAAGATGAGGCAACTGGAAGCAGGCGTGGTCGTGACCAATAGAAGGTTTTTGGACAGGTGATGAGCAGCTGCTCTGTTTCTRCTGAGGACTAGCTAAGAACAAATTGCCAAAAGGACTTTGGCCACCACAATCATTTCCAGGAAGAACTCTCACACTGCAGGGGCTGGGTGCCGTGGGCGTATTACAAGGCAGACTCACGAATCTAAATATTTTAAAATGAGATTTAAAAAAGTCAGGCTGTACTGAACGCTGTATCTTCTGGAATATGAACGTATACAGGATAATTCTGAAAGTATCCTAAGGCATATTTTAAGAAAAATATTATCTTAATTTAAAAATTTTCTACCTTTATTGAGGTATGACTGACAATCCTAAATTGTATGTGTTTAGGATGTACAATTAGAGTTGATATATACTGTGCAATAATCACCACAATCAAATTAATTAACGTATCTACTACCTCAAATRTTTATTTTCTCTTTTCTGTGTATGTCATGGGAACACTTAAGGTAAGTATACAGTACAGTATTGTTAACTACAGTCACCAAGCTGTTTGTTAGGTCTCCGGAATTTGTTCCTTTTACATAGCTGAAACTTTGCCCCTTCACCCACATCTCCCCATTGATATCATCTTAATTCTAGAAGAGTTATCAGCTATTGTCCTAGGCCTGCAACAACCAAACAACAGTCACTGACCAACATTAATTCCAGTAGAACAGGATTTCAGAACCTGGAGCTTGTCCTTTTACAAGTAAAGCCAATTTAATTAGTTTGTGTTTAGATTCTAGCAATACACATAATACAACAGATAAAGAGATTAGAAATGTAAGGTCTAACTGAAGCATTGACACTAATTCTCTGTGTCTAGAGATTTAGAAGASAAATATAACCATCCTATTAAAGAGACAGAATAATTTATTTTATTATTAATAAAGTAGTATTCAATAAAGTATTAATTAAGTAGTATTCAATTCATGGCTAGTGCCTCTGAATTTTAGACATTCATAGAATGACACAGCATGATTGACTCCATCTTAATGACTAAGAAAGTATGGTAGCTATGCTATAAAAAACAAATTAGTCATGAATTTTTTACCAAAAAACAAAAACAACAACAACAACAAAAAACCACCTGAGTCTACCACAAACAACACTGTATTATGCAACACATTTTAAGCCACTAAGATGTAAGTCTTTTTCTCTTAGGTTTAAACAAAGTTTTCTCTTTATTTATACTTTATTTTCTTCTGACCACGATTAAACAAAGACTACATGTTTGTTAGAGTATGTAGCAAATAGTTAATCCTCAGTAAATAAGATGTGAGTACAAGTGGGAACCAATATAAAAATGTATAGGYGTGGTTTCATAGAATTTTAATGAGAATTTTTCAAACCTTTGGATATTTATTTTTCACTCACCTGTATCTGAGAAATATGTTTTCCAATATTTTACCACAAGACTCATTTTTTCCATTGTCAGTGGTTCTGTTAAAGTAATATCAGCTCCATACCCTGAAATACAATCTAAGAATTTTGTATTAAATATTGACCTTATGATTTCTGTTTGAAGAAAAAACAAATGCTATATCTAGCAGGCACATACCTTTAAAATTTTCAGGGATTATAAAAACAAACAACCAATGTGTATTTTTCTTCTTGCCAAATCTGAGAGGGAAATAAAATGTTATAATGAAGCAAAATCATCATTCACAACTTTGGAATTCAAAAGCTAAACTTACTACAAACCTAGCTAGAGTGATTTTTGTTATTTCTTTAGAACTTAAAATGATGGCATTAATATGAAAAAATTAACAAAAGTGGTATCTTTAGTCAGTGAAGTAAAAGATGTACTACTTTTTCTTTAAAAACAAAACAAAACTACAACAATAAAAACACCTACAACAGCTCAGGAGGATGAGGCAGGAGGATTAGAAGTTCAAAGCCAGTCTCAACAATWTAGTGAGGCCCTGTGCAACTTAGTGAAACCCTGTCTCAAAATAAAAACAGTCTGGGGATATGGCTCAGTGCTTAAGCATCCCTGGGTTCAATCCCTGGCCTGCACAAAAAAAGAAAAAAAAGGGAATTTAAAACTCACCCAAATTTTTAAATTGCTCATTAATTTATAAAACATTAGGGGAAAGATGAACATTTTAAACAATATCATTGTAAAATACAGAATGTGGGAAATTATATAAGACTTATGACCCCTTTTAAATATAGGTATATATGTAGATGTTCTTTAGGTTTTATAATTATATATATATGACAAAATAAAAAAAAAAACATGGAAGAGAACATTGAATCTTTATTTGTAAACACACTTTTTTTAAAAAATTGTAAGATAAGCAGGAAAAATTGAACACTGATTAGATATTTTTACAACATTAAAGGAATTATTATTAATTTTCAGGTAAATATTGGTATTGTGGTTATTTCTGAGTCCCTATCTTAGCTGTATATTAATTTATGGATAAAATAAAACAATGCCAGATTTTAAAACAAACCACCAGAGGCAGGATAGCTTGGAAAAAGAGACGAAACAAATTTGTCCAGATGTTGATAATGTCAAGCTGCATTATGGGCATGTGGAAGTTCATTATACTTTTTTGTCTACTTTTATATGCCTAAAATTTTTCAAAATAAAACTTTTACATTTTGTGCCATTATAGTTAACTATACTCAGTAGTCCATAAGCTGGCTAAACCTTAGCATTAACTGAAATGAAATATTTTTTCCAYGGGCAATGTTATTTTGAGTCAAACTTTCAATTGAGTGAAATAAACAAGCTTTTTTTTTTTGAGACCAGGGACTAAACAYAGGGGCACTTTACCACTGAACTATATCCCCAACTATTTTTATTTTTTAAATATTTTTGGCTGTAGGTGGACACAATACCTTTAATTAATTWATTTATTTTTATGTGATGYTGAGGCTYGAACCCARTGCCTCACATGTGCCAGGYGAGCACTCTATCACAGAGCCACAACCCCAGCCCACCTGTTTATTTTTTGAGATAGTGTCTTGCTAAGTTGTTGATGGCCTAAGTTGCCTAGGCTGGTCTCAARTTTGTAATCCTTTTGCCTCAGCCTCCTGAGTTGCTGGAATAACAGGCATGAGACACCAAACAAGCTATTCTTAAATAACTAAAAACATCATTTATCAGTATGTGGTTATACATGCTTATAATTTATTCATTAAATCCAGAATTGGAAGAAACCCCACTACAYAATATTGTTAGTTTATTTGAAAACATATATGTTTTCTGTTAGAAATATATATTATTCTGTTAGAAATTTTAACCCTAGGTATCCATGGGGGATTGGTTCCAGGAAACTATGGGGATACCAAAATCCTTGGATGCTCAAGTCTCTTATATAAATAGGATAGTATTTGCATTCAACCCMCACACATCCTCTTGTATACTTTAAATTATTTCTAGATAAATTATAATACCTAATATAATGTAAATTCTATGTAAATAGTTGTTATCTTTAGAACAACTTTGAATMATGACAAGAAAAAAAGTCTATACATGTTCAGTAAAGATGCAATTTTAAAAATTATTTTCAATCCCCAGTTGGTTGAATCTAAGGATGAAGAATGTGCAGACATGGAGAGCTGAGTGTGAATGATTTACGTATCTACATCATGTATATCGAGAACCTACTATGTACAAGACTCCAGTGTCAGCTCTGTGGTATACAGGGGTAAACAGACAAGAGTCCTGCTCTCCCGGGAGGGCAGATGTTTAACAAATCATGGAGGATAATTAAATGGACAGAACTGTGTCCAGTGCAGTGAATACAGGCCTCAGGGTCCATGGGAGCCCTGCAGCCTTTGGGGAGGCCTGCAGGCAGACAGGCTTCTATGGCTGGCTAGGAGTCAATCACACAAAAGGTGGGGGAGAAGGGAGGGAGGAAAGAAAAAGAGAATCAGAGAATACTCTGGGCAAAGCAACAGCATGGGCACAGGCCTTGGGAAGGTAAATGTCAGGGTAGTGTGAGAAAGTGAAGGCAGTCCAGGATGACCGAAGCATGGAGCACTAAGGGAGAGAAGCATGAGATGAGRCCAGAGAGGTAGGGAAGGCTGGGTGGGATGGTTTGAGGCCAAAGAAAAGATTTSCTGTTTTATGAAAATGGGAAATGAGAGGCTATCGAACTTGAGAGTGATGTGATTCTATTTTCATGTTAGAAAGATCACTCTGACTATGCTGAGATGGGTGGACAGGTCCACACAGAGTGTGAAGAGACCACACTGCAATGGCCCAGGCAAGARCTAATGGTGGAGAAAGCAGACATATCTGAGAACCTTCTGTAAAAATAAGTCACTCAGAATATTTGCTATATCAATGACTCCAGACAAGCAGGACTTTGCTAAAAATGTGTCACCCAACTGMGGTCTATTAAGGCTTCATATTGTTCTGTGAACTCTGGGGAGCTGGGGCTAGAAGAGAAGACAGGAAAGGAAAGGAAACATGGCTTTCATGAGGAAACAGGCATGTGCAAGGGGAAGCTAGGAATGAACTGGCCATCTGAAGGTGGAGGTAAGAAAAGCACATCACTCTACTGATGTGGATGGAGAGCATGGTGGCCTGGAGGGACTGGGAGTACAGAATGATGCCCACCTTGATGTAAAAGTATTTTATATGTTATTTTTAAGTGATGAGCAAGGGTAGAGTATGTAGAGTTATAGAAATACAGACAACAGGATGAGGAAAGAGGAGAAAAGGAAAATGGACTGAACAGAAGAAAAAATTATTGGATGGTTCAGTTGAAATAAAAGATACTTCAGAGATTCATCAAAAGTAAACTATAAGTCAAAATACTCAAACTAGAGAACTGAACAAAAYAGATTTACTTTTAGAAATCACTCTATTTTCATTTTTGCAAAATCATACCAATTGATTTTTTTGACATAGAATGTTAGATTTGTGTATATATTTATATATATGATGATTTACAAGCTTTACATCAGTGGGGATTCCTGAATTTTTGTCATTAKCTCAGAATCAATGACCAACCCAAACACTCAAGCTACTAGTGAAACCCTAACTGTAGAGCTGTACAGGGACTCACGCAATCAATAGAGTTCCCAGAATCCAACACTCTGGTGCTAAGCTCAGCTTCTCATTCACATTCTGTCTGCACAAATCAATAAGCTAAAAAAGAGTTTCTGGCTTCCAAGATCACCAAGAAAATGTCCTCTTTCTAAGGAATGAATGTTCCTTGAAACAGCACTAAGYAACACAAAAACAAAACTCTTTTATCCATCCCAACCAAAATCACTTCTTCCACATTCCAAAATCCAATTTGAGGCTGAGACAACCTGTGTGTTTTTCAATTAAAAGAGTCTTGTGTTTTAAAAATTTGCAAGTCATTTGGGACAATTCATTTGTCCTTGTGTTTCACATATTACACTGTTCAAATATTATGATGATTCCTGAGGTGCTACCCAGGATCTACCTCTAGTGTTTAGATATGAGACTGGACGGACATTCTGCTCTCCATTCCTTTGCCAGCCTCCAGTACTCTATGGAACTGAGGCCAGACATCAGCTCAAAATGCAGCATGCTTATTCTCAGTCTTGGCCCACTCCTAGGTCTGGCACCTGGTACAGTACTACTAAATAGAAARATTATATAAAAGTGTTTTGAGCCGAGTTTAGGAGAGTCCTGACCTCTGAAATCTACCATCTAAGAAAACCAAAACAATCTTTTTTATTTTTAAATACCTAAACCTGAGCTATATTCTACCAGCCCTTTTTATTTTTTGAGTTAGAATCTGCTGAGGCTGACCTCGAACTTGCTACCTTCCTGCCTTAGCATCCCAAGTTGCTGGGATTACAGGTGTGTACCACTATGCCCAATGCCAAACAGTATTGTAAGTCCCYATGAAGCTTTGTTCAGGGCCAGAAGGACTTCAAGGAACCAAAGCTAGTGTCACATTTGGGTTGTAGCCTCTTGAGTATAATTATTCGTTACGCTGTCCATGGACCACATGCAGCCAAACTAATCTGGAATGGCCTATTTGAGGCTTATAACAAATAGGTTGTTTTTTTTTAACCACTTAATTAAAACAACCATTTTCAGTAAGAAAGTTAAAACTTTTACTGTGAATATGAGAACACTGAGCTCACTTTCTACCTGAGATAAAATGTAGTATTTTAACAACGTTATTCTGGCCAATAATGAAGGTCAGTGTGCCCTGCTCCCATTACATTATTCCACAGAAGAGTCCCTTTTGTAAATCTCGCAAGTTAGATGTATAAGAACMATTTCAAGAAAAGTAAAACTGCAGTTCTAGAAAGGATCCATACACTATTGATGAATTTGAAACATATTTTAATTTTCTGTTCCTGCTTTTAGAAGATCAAGTGTCAAGATGTATCTGAATTATCATGTATCTGCTCTTTGAGTATAGCTTAATTTTGACCACTGACTTAAGCCAACAGTGAAATATTGTGGRATTCTGGAGCTAAGCCTATGAATCCTAGATTATCTTAAAAATATTTTACCACTGGATAGTGTCCGAGTTCATCTGGCTCAATAAAAATATGTTCTTTAAACACATTCATAAAATGAAAACAATTAAGGAGTACTATTAGGAATGCCGACCCATAATGCAGACGTGTCTACTGCTTGAAATAAAGTACCAATATTTTTATGAATGATTAAAATTAATTAATGATTGACACCAAGCTCAAAAGACAGTTCTTTTCTAAAAATCAGTTYAAAAATCCTTTAAGGAGACTTCTTTAATTTTATTCTAAAATAACCCTAATATTATAACTCACAGGCTAAACATCATCCTTATTTCAATAAAAATCCATATGCTTCATAGATACATAGGTTTGTGATCATGTGCTCAAATACTACAAATAAACATGCACACTTCTAGTCCACAGTAAATTCCTTATTCGCTGCTAGGAAATACAATGTGGCCAAGAAAGAAAAGTAAGGGAAATAAATAATTGTACATTTTCYTGGACCTATCCAGATTTTGAAATACTACGAAAAACAATAAATATCTAAGGGGGAAATCCACAATTTAGCAGAAGGAAAGCTAAGCCAAACTCTTCATTTTGGGTTAGTCATTAAATATTAGTCAAAGCTCAAAAGACATTATGCTTTAAAAAAAGATAAATTTTAAATGTCTTATAAAGGAGTCAGTATGTTTATAAGACTCATTGCCCTATGAAAAACTACAGGTTGAAAAACTGTAAACTTTCTCCACAATAATAAATAATTTAAGAGTTCGTAAATAATGAACTCATAATAGTTCTCAGGGCAGGGAAGGGAATTTCAGAGCCATTCCTATCTGCTGAGGCCAGCAACACAATAGCAGTTTCCACAAAGAAAACAGACCCTTTTCAAAGAGGAATACAAAAGCTAGAGTTCATTTTTTGTCTCCAGAATGGCATTTACCTCATCTGTTCAKTCATTCACTTATACCTACAGCAAGGGAGATAATGCTGGCTAATAGTCAAGATCTACCCTGGGAATTGAGAATAGAGCAACAAGAGACAAGGAAAACAAATTGGTGTATTCCACAAATGATCCTTTCTTCATTTTAGACACATACTTTTACAGCAAAATAAAAGACCTACCATATGCATATCCGTAACTTAGTGCCTTCATGTGTCTTCTTTTGCCTACTATGAAATAAGCTACAGACTTGGGGTGTAGCTCAGTGGTAGAGCACTTGCCTGGTGCGCATGAAGCCCTGGGTTTGAGCTTCGGCACCACACAGGCATTTACACACACACACACACACACACACACACACACACACACACACAATCTTAAGCTGTCATTTAAAGTAATGAAAGCCATAGGAGGTAGAATCTGCAGATATAAGTATCAGACAGGAAAATCTGTCCTTGAATCTCCTAGGTTTTAATGACTGTGATTAAATATCAAATTTATTATTAAATAAAACTTTATTTTTACCCTGTTCTAAACATCAATAATGAGCAAATACAAAGCTTTACTCCATTCAGAGAGACAGATAGGATGTCACACCTGAAACAAGGGAAGAGATCAGCCATATATATAGTTTTCCAAAAATCACATGTGTTTGATTTATACCAAGTTTTGCATATGCTGAATCTCAGAGGTATAAAAGAAGTGGCTTCAATACAAAAGTCAAATAATTACCTACTTTTATAAAGAACCTGAAGCAAGTAGTTCTAAGTTTTGGGAAAACAAGACATGTGCTCTTAGGCAGGTCATTTCATTCTCTATTTTCTTATCCGTCAAAAGTAGGGACAATGAAATCCTGCTCTGCTCACATCACAGAACTGCTATAAAATAAAAATACTAAATGCATGAGATATCATGAAAAGTCCCCAACCAGGGAGAACTCCATCTATGGCAGATTTTTTTTAACCTTTTAGTTCATGTGACTTTAATTTTGTTTGTTTTTCAAAAGGCTGTGATAAAATAGGCACATGCTCTGGAAGGGGGCTCTTCATAATGTGTTTGRGAAGTGAAATCTACTTCTGAAGTGTGCCGGTTTGTCCAGAATTTAGATTCACAGTAGAAAGCTGAAAGAAATGCAGACCAGTGGTTCTAAGAAACCCCAGAAATAGTGTCTATCTGTCTCTCTCTAAGAAAGGACTCAATGGCTTGGGCTTTCCATTCCAACCCTTCTCCTTCTCTAATATAATTTGCTTGACCCTATATATTCAATGATCACAATATTGACTCTGAATTTTCTGAGTCCTATATTATAATTTTGACAAGCTCTCAAACACTCTAGTGCTACTTACAGTTCTATTTTCTCTATCATGTGTTTTTATGGAAACACAACAAATTTATTCTGTCCTAACCCTATTTAAACACATTCCAAATGGCTTAACATTCTATGTAGTCAGAAAGAACTGGACTCCAGTTCTTGAGAGTCCAATGCTCTTTAGAAGAAGACCTTCTGTGGACTTCCATGATGAAACAGAAATATTGGAGGTACTAGTCTCTGGGCTAGATGGACAAAGAGAACCTCAAGGCTCCAAGGGACAGTTTCAGTCCACAACCAACATGGCAGAGCTGAAAGTGCTCACTTGCTTTAATATCTGCTGTAATAATTAATGAATTCTGGAAAGATRTGTCATTTTAATGATGCTGTTATTTATAAGGCATATCTATGGGAATAATGTAAGCATTATAAACCAAGTAAATTTCTGGGACCAATTAATTCTTACTCATACCTATTCTCAAGTTAAAATAATTCTTATAATAATATGTCACAGTGGCAATAAAAATAGCAACATGTACAGAGTTGAACCATGAAGATATGCTTCATTTTAAAAATTAAAGTAGAAATAGATCATCTTTTAAGAATTTTTATAGAAATCTGTTTTTAAAACACCAGTCTAAAGATATAAAGTCAAGGTTTTGAAAGTTTACCTAATTGACCTGACAGCTTCTAGCTCCTCCACACTTAGGAAGGAAGTTGTCTTCAGGAACACCATGTCGAATGTGCAATGGTCTAAAAGTGTGGCTGCCTTCTGCACATCACTAATGGTGATGGTGACTTCTGCTGTATTTGCAAAAAGCTTCTGTAGAGCATCAGCCAGGTGATAAACAGTGTCATCTCCAACCAACAAGAGGTCTATTTTTGCCTAAAGGAGAAGGAAGAAAGCAAAAGCACTACATAATTAATATCTGGACATAGAAAAAACATTGTGCATGAGAGGATAGAATAAATAAAGGTGACAAATAACAATGATTATTGCCCCTACAGCTGTACTGGATGGTGAGCTGTAAGTACTTTAAAGGTAGGAATGTCCTCAGTACCTAGGATTCAATGGATTGGAAGGGCATTCTATTTTTTAAAGTTTTTCCTATCCATACTATTCTACTATGTTTTCCTGCAAATTTCTATCTTGTCCTATTAACAACAGACAAGAATCTTATGACCCAATTTYTCAATAGTCCATCCCACTGTAAAATCTGTTTACTGCTTAGAAAACCAAACTGGTACTCTCCCACACAATTTATTTTGGTGAAACACACATTCCAGAAAACAGCAAAAGATCAAAATTCCCGAGAAACACTCAAATAAAGTCATTTGAAGGGAATATATATGCTATTTAAATCTGAATATCAGGAACCAAAAAGTTTCTTCATTTCCATGTGGGAGTATTTTCAAATACAATTAGAAAAAACAGAATTCCCATCCTCACTTTTAATTTTGCTATCTTTTATTCCCTATAGCTAATGAACATAGCCCATGGAAAAGGCCCAAGGTTGGAAATGCTTGAATAAATGAAAGTAGTCAAAAGACAATTGGAAATGCCAAACCATGGACAGATCTATGTGAGAAAACAGATTGGGGAGTTGAGCGTCGAAGCCAAAAGTAGTAGGTGGAGGAGTTGGAAATACTTGTACAAAGAGAAAAGCAGCCTGTCGAAGATGCACCTCTTCAGGACAGGATGCTGGTATAGAGGCCTCCCTGGGCTCTCCCCAGTTTCATCTTGGTTTCCCAAGGATTGCAGGAAAGAACTGGGAGGTGTAAGAAACCAGGCAAGAGAGTGAAGTAAGCAAAGATTCTGCATTTTTACCTGCTTATCTTCTCATTTTCGTCCTTATTATTTTTTAAAGTAAGTCTTCCTTTATCATCTCATATCCTCATTCCATTCCTTCCCTTGGAGCAACCACTATTAACAATTTGCTGTCTATCCTTCCACACAATTTTTATGTCAGATGTATCAGTGTAATACACCCACGTACAGCTTTCCCTTAAAAAATGGGATATTCCATTTTAAAAAAAATAAGTTGTTTTTCTCATGTAATGATATAGTTCAACAATTCCTCAAAATTTTTGGTTCAACGAGAACATTCTCATTTTCTAGAAGGTTACACATGTATTTTCTTTAAAAAAAAAAAAAAAGTTTCCTATCATTTGTTGGGATCTGGGGTGGATGTGCTCATCTTCATCCAGTCTTCCTCATGTCCAGTGGTAATAACTCATTAAGCCATTTTCCAAATGTTGAACTTCAATGTTGTTGAAATGCTGTGATAATATCTTTATAAGCATTCCTTTGTGTAAATGCATAAATCCTAGCATCAAAGCTATACAGAAAAGTTTTCCATTTTCCATCTTAGATATAGCCAAATTTCTTCTTAGAAGCAAAAGTTTGTGTCCCCACCAAGAGTATAGGTGAGTTACAATTCCCTGAATTCTTAATAAGACTGGTTATTCTTAAGCTTTTAAATTTTTTTGCATTTAATTTTCCTTTTCATTGGTATTTTTCTGATCAATGTTTAATATCCTTTCATTTTAATGGCAATTTACATTTCTATTTATTCCATATTCTATTCATCATGCATGCCCATTTTATTATGCATGCCTTTGTGCACCTTCCTATTTATGGTCTTTTTCTTAWTGCTTTGTTGGATTTTATGTATTGTGAATATCACTCAACTATTTTGAGTCTGTGGATCCATCTTTAAATTTAAGGTATCTTGTCGATGGTGTTTCGTATGTAGTCACAAGTCACAAATCTGTTTTCTTTGGGACTTTGGTGAATTTTGTCTTGCTTTCAAACCCATCTGTTTATATTAGAATATGGATTGATATGTTAAATGCTTTTATTTTTTTCACTTAGCTTTTTATCTTCTTTGAAATTTACTTGGTGATTAATATGAGGTAGTATTTGATTTCATCTTTCTTAAAAGGCAGAGCTAAATGCCCTGATAGCATTCTTGAGAAAGATAAACTTTCCTCAGTGCTTTTAAATGGCCACCTTTGTAAGTGATTTTATTATGTTTTTCTGAAACCCATTTTGATTAATCTATTGGTATGTTCCTGGTTGATAGCATACTGTTTACTAGCTACTTATAAAGTGTTTTTCTATTTGATAGAGTACATTGACAGTTTCCTTCTTGTTATTTTAAAATTTTGTTTGCAGTTATTTCCCACAACTTTTTTTTCCAATGGAATTTTATCATCTTCTTGTCAAGGAACCCTGCTGAAGTTTTGATAATGCTTGCATTTATTTTAAATATTAGGGTATATCATCACTGTATTAAATCTCCCTATTTAGAAGATATGACTTTCAAGAGAATTTGGGTCTTTTGTGTTCATTTTTATAGTTACTTTCATATAGATTTTGCATGTATCCTTGAATATCTATCTTTAGATATTTTAACATTTAGAGATCACTGTGAAGGAAATATCTTTTCTCATTTACTGAATTTTCTCATTGATATAGCTGTCATATAGAAGTGCTGTTGATTTCTATATAAGGAAGGTGCTTCATATATTTTATGATATAACATATTTTAGTTGATTCTTCTCAGTTTCCTTGATAGACAATCATAAAATCTTCAAAAATGACATTTTTGTCTGTTTCCAGAGTTTATGCCTTTTACTTGTTGATTTTAAAGAACTGGCTGGTGCAGGGGTTTTAGAGCTAAGTAAAATGTATTTAATACATTGAATATGTATACRTATATTTTACTCATAAGTATGCATCCACATAAAATGTAAGCATAGTATATACTTTAATGCTAACAAATTGTCAAAACTACAAAAATAAATAAATAAATAAAGTGTTGGCTAGAATATCCAAAACAGAGGTGAACAGTGAAGTGAAAATGAGCATTCTAGCTTTGTTCCTGGCTTTAGTACAAATATTTTGAAATTCTCTTACCACTAAATATGATATTTTCTGAAGATTTCTAGTCAATATYCTTTATCAAAAATTAAGTTTATTTCTATTTGAAGGTAAGAATTTTAAGTCATAAATGGGTGTGGAAATATACTAAATGCTTTTTCAATATGAACTTGATCATACTGTTTTTTATTTTTCCTTTAATCTGGTAGGTAGACAATCATAATAATACATTTCCTAATGCCAAGCCATCATTGCAAGTAATAAACAAATTCATAACAGATTCAATTCATTGTTCAATTTTTGTATCTATGTTCACAAGTGAAACTGGAAACATTTTTTTTACTTTATTATGTTATCTTATCATGGTTTGGGTACAAGGACTGTATGGCAACCTTGAAGAAGAAAAAACATCGATATTATTCTATCGTCTCAAATATTGTAGAAAACAGAAATTATAGGTTTACTGAGACCTATTTAAAACATGTTTATAAAAGTGCATTTAGACTACCTTTTACAGATTTTGAATGATTACAGTTAAAATTTCCAAACTTCAATTAGGTGAATTTTGTTCATGCATATTTTGAAAAATCCATTTCATCTATATTTTAAAATGTATTAACTTTTAAAAATATGTAATATGTATTACTGGGTTCTTCTTGTTTTCTAACTCAAAATTAATGTTTTTTTTTTCCTTTTTTTCTTTGTTTTTCCTCTGCTGATGCTTTATTACAGACTATAAAACTCTGTGGTCCAATACAGAAGACATAAACAATTTACACTCAYGTTCATAAAAACTTATTCTGCATTCAGCCCAGTTATGTTAGCCTGTTTCAAATGCTCAATATCTATGCATAAGTGGCTACCATATCAGGCAGCACAATTACAGAATATTTTTATCATTGCCAAAGAAAGTTCTGTTGGACAGTACAGTAGAGAAGATAAGTTTCCCTTCAAGGGACACCTTGTTTTATCCCATGGATTTTGACAAATACAGAATTCATATTCATTCACAAGTAAAAAAAAATTAAACTTTCAGTTAATATTTCTATTTTAACCTGAGTTCAACTCCTATATAAAGGTGTTTTTAATTTTAAAGGATAGTATGCTTTAGTTCTTGATGTTTTGCCAATCCACCAGTTGTTCATTYCTTATTTTGATATACCATCAAAAGTGAATGTGCCCTGCATGTTGTCTATTTTTTTAGAATTTGACATTCTCTTTATATCCTACAGTCAATTTTTGTAATGTTCTATGGGTATTTGAAAACAATGTCTATATTCTAGYAAACAAGTTCTATATATCTTATAGAACAAACTTGTTAATTGTTTTCTTTTGTCAGGCCCACTCTTTCAGTTTATAAGGAGGTATGTTAAACTCTCCCTCTCTAATTATGRTTTACAATGTCTTTATCAATGTCTCTATAAGTTCTATTTGTAACTAGGGGTCATGTACATAAAGGGGTCATGTTCATGACAGTTACACAAATTTATATGGAAATATAACTATAACATTTATACTGTATAATGATCTAGATTTATGTATGTTAAACACCATATATATACACATATATATTATAAAGAAAGCTAAATATKAAATATAACTGTCACTTAATACTTCATCTGAAATTTTACTTGTTTCTATAACTATTTTTCATAGTCCCTTATTTTGAGACATTCTGTATCTTTGATTTTGTGTGACTTTTATAAATAGCATAAAGTTGAATATTTAGTATTTTTAACAATCTGAGCTTTCAATTTTTCATGTACRACTAAAAGTAACTTATTATATTTATGACATTTACTATTTCCAATAATGTAATGTGATCAATCAGCTAATATTAATTAATTATGAAACATTTACAACCTAATGTGAAATGGTCTAATTCCTTTCATTTGTCATTCCYACTTCCTATAGTTCTGTCTTTCTCCCATGTCTTTGGTTARGCTGATCAATTTTTCCTTTTTCTACCCTGCTGTACCTATAGTGCTTTGGGAATTAAA